GAAGATGTTAGGTTGTTTTAGAGGTGATTCTAGAATAACTTGTATTATGTGTTAAAAGCGAAGTATGTGGTATCTTGTCTTGGTTGACTTGTACCTCTTGCTGATGTATATATAATTATGAATATGTGATATCTTGATTTAGGGTGTTAGAACTCTTAGTCTTGAATGTATGAATGACATGTGACTTTAAATTATGATATGAGAGTCTATTATGTGAAATCATTGACTTAAGGGTAAGGTTAAGATTTTTGAAGCGTAAGCCGTAATGGTATCCTTCAAAGTAAAGGAATGATGGATTTAAGGTTAGTTAGCTCGAACGGCATCATATTAATCCTTAGGAAAGTCATCATGAGCTTCTTGTCGCCATTGTGAGGTAAACCTAGTAGACCTTCCTTGGTAGGGTAAAAGTGATTGGGTTAATGAACTTGATGTGGAACCCTTTTATGTGAACCTAATGTATGAGTTACTCTATAAAACGAAGGCTAGCACCGAGTGAGTATGGTAAGGGAAAGTAGTTCTAGTTAAGTATGAGACTAGAATACAAAGTATGCCCTTCATATTCCTTAACCATGTGCCTACATGGGATGTGTCTAAGTTCTACCATTGGAAAGTAGAACAACCTCATTGGAGTAGGATAGAACTCCGGTTCCATGTCTTGCTATCATGGTCTATGTAGGTTATTGGTTGTTATCATCATATGGAATGCCTATTAGCATTTGAGAAGTTTATGGAGCTTCGGTGGTGGTATGGGTCGTTATCTAGACATTGCACAATAGACTTTGAAGGTGTTATGTGGAGTCCCTAGGTCTTATCCAAGACCATTACTTGAATGTCCGTTATGTGATGTATGAGCCTTAATGATCTAATGAACTAATGGATTATGTTAAGGAGTATGTAAATAAATGAGTACCTAATCAAAAGTGACTTAAGGATTCCTTAGCTAAAGTGTGAAGAGGGCATAAGGGATGATTTATTCATGTCTTATCTTTGGAAGTCTTGAGGACGACTCTAGTTCGGGAAGTTGGTTGATTTTGTGGACATGATCTAAGCCATAGGTAATCTTAAGGAATATTTAGGTAATCTTGAAGAGGTCACTATGGACGTTATCTTCTTGATTTACTTAAGTAGGTCTTTTGATAGCCTTTGGGAAGAGAATGTCATATCATCTATGTGTTGGTGTATTATGTCAGCATGATTCTATCTTAGGGAGTCTATAGGATCTCTTAAGTGTGTGTGTAAGGAATTGTATGGGCTGTCGCTTCACAACTCACACAAGTGAGACTTAGAATTCACCTTTGGTAGAAGAATCTTACCTTGATGTTTATGATTGCTTTGTAAGTATGTATGTGAAGGGTGGTTTAGACACATCTAGAGAGGGTATATGAGCGGTCTCTCTTTGTGTGACTTAAGTGAATCTTAGGATGACTTAAGTGAGGAAATCATATGCTAGAAGTATCTCATGTGTTTCTAAATTAATTTATGATGTTTTCTTGATTAAATATGTTTTGAAAAAAAATGAAAAGATGCATATTTCCAATAAAGTCCATTTTCATGATTTTTATGCATACAACCATACTTAGTACATGTAGTTGTACTAACTCCATACTTCTATATATATAGTTCTTGGTAGGTGAGGAGCTTTGAGAAGTGAAGACTTGGACTTAGAAGATCATTCAAGAGAAGTTGAAGTATGTCCTCACTTGACGCGAGGGCATATATGTGTCTTTTATGTTTTCATTCAAAGTATTATAATAGACTAAGTATTTCTATATTCGTATTTTGAAGTATGGGCCGTGTCCTTAGTATTCTTGTGTCTTAAGATAATGAGATTGAGACTTAGTATTTCCTATTACTTTTATATGAAAGAGATTTAGAAGACTATTTATGTTTTGTGAAAAGTTTTAAATCCACTACTTTTCACTATGTATATGAAATGAATGATATGAAAGAGGCTGGTCTAAGAACTCCGAGAGTTCAACGACGCCAGTTACAGTCCAAGATTGTACCCTAACTTCTAGGGTATGGTTTAGGGTTGTGACACTCACAGTGTTCAAAGGTTTAAAGAGAGATGAACTAAGATGCGCTTAGAGAGTACCTTATAGTGTTCTTAAGTTAAATAGAGGAACTAGGTTCCAAATCAAGAAGTATTAGTATGAGTACCTAAAAGTGGTACTTAGCATGAGTAGTATTATGGGGTGCTACTCATGCATTGCACAAGTATGACTTAGGGTTATTAAAGAAGATATTTGAGATAGGTTTGTGCCATAAATGCCTTCCTTGATATAGTTGAGTAAAGGTGAGAGATTCCATTAGCTATGAAAGTAATCCAATAGTGAGACCAATGTAGGGTAAATATGACTAGGATTACTTCAAGGTTATGCTTAGTGTGAAGGATAGTATGGATGCCTTTCATGCATTGCACAAGTGTGCTTTGAGGTTACTTAGAAGTATGATGCCCTTTTGGCAGAAAAGCTTAAAGACTTAAACCAAGTATATAGACTATGATTAAAATGACCAAAAAGAAATACTTGACTTTGGTAGTATAATGGAATGTTATTCGTGCATTACACATGTATGATTTTGAGGTTGCTTTAGAATATGGTATAGATGACTAGGAGTCGAATGATGTGTATATGAGGTTTATGTCGGATACTTTGCTTATTGTTCATGAAGTAAACCATATGATGTTGGTTTATGTCTTATATTGACTAACCCTTGTCTTATGCTCTTATAATTATGATAGATATCATGCTTGATACATTTTATACTAACGCATACTTTGCCTACATTCTAATCAAATATAGGGTTTCGGAGATTGAGTTTTTTTGGAGGCTAGGATTCTAAGAATCAAGAAGAGTTGAAGAATTTGTGAGTCCTCATAGCTTTGAGGACAAGCCTATCATTTCCTTTATGTCATTTCTTTATGTTTTAGACTTTGTATGGGTAATGATGCTTGTCCACTCGCTGCTAAGCCTAAATCTTACGAAATGGTTATTAATCTTAACTTGTCTTATTATCCATGGAAGTGAACAAGTAAGTTGTCAACTCAAGTTAGAATTTATTAGAATAACTCCTTAATCTTGATTCAACGTGGATGAGAAAAATTTTCAACCTTATGAATCCTTTTTGTGATAAAACCCTTTCACAATCATGTTTTGAGTAGCATGAGAGAAATTCTTTCATAACAACAATAACAACAACAACATCAATGTTTTACCCTCAAAGCAACCTTAAATCATGTATATCAATTTTATAAAGAAATATGCATGTCCTCATAAATTCATCTTTGATAGTGCATAAGCTTCATCATGTGATCATAGTTAAGAAATCATGGATCATTCATGGTTTCACGTGAATTCAACTTAGAATCATGTAATTATCTCAATTCATGGATATGCATAAGAATATATAAAACAATCAATTGGATCATAATTGAAAATAACTAATGATATTGTATAAAATATTAACTTCAATTGGATATTCTAACTAGTAAAATTTGAGAATTAGGAACCTTGTGGGGGAAAGGACTCCACATGTGAAGACTATCATACCTTTATGTCAAAATCCCACAATCAATGGTGAACTTTAAGACTTGATCTTTAAATCATAGACTCTTCTTCAACCTTCAGAGAAAAATTTTGGGGAAAGAACTTGGAGGGTTTTGGGGGAATTTGAAGAATGATTTAGAACAATTAGCTTTTAGGCTTAAAAGACTTATAGAGGGTCTATGATAAGGATAAAAACGACCTTGTTTAGGTATAATTCCATTAGAGAAAAATATTATAAAGCCCTTAAAAATTGGTCGGTGTGAGTCCAAGTTTGAATGTTGAATTCCGGGTCAGAATTCAGGGTAAGGTCCAGATCGGTCTTAGAGTTAGATCTCGAAGTCATATCCCAATTCTGAGGGTTGAATCTCTGATCGGTTGACGGAGTTGATTTTGGGTCAATTTTTTTCTTAGAAAATATTTTATACTCTCTAGCCAAAAAATAGGTAGTTTTGGAAAATATTTTGCATTCACCAACTAAACACAAGAAAATATTTTCCACTCACCAACCAAGCATAAGTTACAAACCAACTTATTTCCAAGAAAAGATTTTGTAGCAAAAATTTTCCACTCATCAATCAAATATGAAAAATATTTTCGATTGACGCCGGAAGCTCTACCATCGAACATATTCAATAACAATCTCAGTGAAGATTCTATGAATTTTAATTTTGAAACAACTTCTTTTGGCGAGGCAACTGTTATAGGAACTATTAACATTACTTTATAAGCCATCTAATATTTTATGTCTTTTCATATTTATCATCTGATCTTTTCATTAAAATGTGTTGTAGAAAAATGACTTAATATCGTTTGGCAAATCAAAATCAATAATTCGTTCTAATTGAACCCTTATATTGAACCATTGACTAGAAACATATATGTTCTTTAGAATGCAATTAACATCATTTATTTATAAGGGAAGAACTCTTCTGATTAAAAAAAAAATTATATAAAAAGAATGCATATTATAATTATTAGTACAAAAGCTCACATAACAAAGAAAAATCAATCCTTTGGGGAAGCACTCAAAAGAAAATAGCAGTTGCTCTATGGAGGAAGAAAAGGATTTAAGAGAAAGAAATAGTGAAATAAATTGAACAATATTTCTAGTAGACTGATGGGGGTGGTGGAAGTGAGTAGTATGGTGGACTTGGAGGTCATTTATACGAAGGGGTAGATTCTTCATAGTATGGTGGTGGGGGAGGAGATGTAAAGGAAGGGGTAGATTCTTTAAATATGGTGGAGGAGGGGGGGATTTATAGGAAGGAGTAGATTTTTTGTAGTATGGTGGAGGGGGAGGGGACTTGTAGTAAGAAGGAGATTTCTCATAATAAGTTGATGGTGGAGGATGAGACTTGTAGTAAACTAGTGACTTGTAATATTTTAAAGGTGATGGTGATTTATAGTATTTAGAAGGAGAATGTGATTTGTAATATTTTGATGGGGATGGGAAGTATTTAGAAGGAGAATGTGATTTGTAATATTTTGATGGGGATGGGAACTTGTATTAATAGTGTGTCGATGGAGCAGACGACTTGTAGTACTAATTTGCAGGTGATGGAGACTTGTAGTAGTGCTTTGTAGGTTTTGGTAATTTGTAGTAGTGCTTTAAAGGGAAAGGTGACTTGTAGTACTTCTTTGAAGGCACGGGTGCCTTGTAGTACTTTTTTGAAGGAGCTGGTGACTTGTTATACTTCTCTACCACCGGTGACTTGTAGTAGTGCTTCGAAGGACCAGATGACTTGTAATACTTTGTTACAATAGGTGACTTGTAATAGTGTTGTGAAGGAGCATGTGACTTGTAATACTTTGCTACAATAGGTGACTTGTAGTACTTTGAAGGAGCATGCGTCTTGTAATAGTAATGGGATGGAGGATGTTCAACATGTTTTTCTGGTTTCTTGTAGTATGGGGATAGTGATTTGTAGTCTTTCTTAGAGTTGTAAAATGGTGAATGAGAAGTATAGTCGTAAGAGTAATCAGCAACAACAGTGCTGACTACAAAGCAAATGCAAGTAGAGGCAATTGCCCCAAATTTCCAAAGCTTTCTCATTTTAATTTTTGGAAGAAAAAAAGGATAGAGCTAAGACTTGTGTTGCATAGTTGAGTTGGTAGCAAAGTAACATCCTTCTTGAGATTAATGTAACAACTTCATGGTTAGCCACTAAGATCATAGGAAAGTCAAAATAAAGATTATTTTAGTTTAATTAGTGGCTAACATTTTTTTGGGGTGGTTGAAAAAATAATTTGAAAGTGTGTTAGTTTAGAAAGAATATATAAGTCGACATGTATATTGAACTTGACATTCAAAAATATGAAGGCAAACTAGATTACAAGAACAACAATATACTCAGTATAATCTCACAAAGTAGGGTCCAAAGAGGGTAGAATATACATAAACTTTACCCCTACCTCAGAAATAGAGAGCTTGTTTCTTTATAGACACTCGACTCAAGGAGAAATCATCCAAAGCAGTCCAAAAGAAGTAACAAAAGTGGGAAAAAAAAAGATAGAAAGGGGATAGCAACTACAACCCTTCAAGAATGTGTTCAACATGCAAGTATTACAACTCATTTCCATCATATTTGTGGAGGGTATTATTGTAAACACATTTGAAAAGTTAAAAATTATGCAATGTATTTTATTTTTAATACATCAAACCAAACACTCCATAAGAAATAATCTCAGCATGACTAATATCAGCACTGCTAATGCAAGTATTACTAATACACCGTATTCAATACTTGTCTTGTACATCCTACCAAACAACTCTTAAAGGTAGCATGAGGATAAAAAAGAAGAAGAGGAGATGGACACACCTAACCAGAATGCAGAAAAACATAAGATTTCACCAAAAGCTTCACCCCAACCTTGAACATCCTGCCATTTGTTGCCTTTGGGCCAGCAAACTGAGAGGTCCATCGATAATTCTAAGTCATGAATGATCGGGGAAGAGCCGGAGAGTTTGAGATTGTCCAGAAGTGCACTGTGTCTCCAATTGTTGGGATGCAAACCAAGAGGTCCATCGATATTTCTAAGTCAGGAATGATCGGGGAAGAGCCGGAGAGTTTGGGATTGTCCAGAAGTGCATTGTGTCTCCAATTGTTGGGATGCAAACCAAGAGGTCCATCGATATTTCTAAGTCATGAATGATCGGGGAAGAGCCGGAGAGTTTGAGATTTTCCAGAAGTGCATTGTGTCTCCAATTGTTGGGATACTACAGAGCAGCCAGAACCAGTTGTCATTGAATTATCTTTGTGCTCATCTGGAGAGACATCAAAAACGTCAGGCTGGTCAACTACCACACATGAGGTAGCCTCATCTATTGCTTCATCAACTCGCGGATCATCAGCTTGAGGGATCTGTGTAGTTTGGGGCTGTCCTGAAGAGCATGACTCATCCCTATGCTGGAAGCTTTGTGCTGCAGAAGAGCTTGGTGTTTCCATTTGTTGATCAGGAACTATGCTGGTGGAGCACGAATCCTTCATCACTTGACGAAGATCAAGGCGTCTTCTCTTAACAGAAACATCTTCTTTTCTGTGGCCTTGGTCATCATTACATTCTCTAAACAGATCAGAATTCGGAGAATCAACATCACATTGGACCGCGATGGTTGATTGATCTATCTGTTGAATTTTCTTCTCATACACCAGAAGAAGCCCCCATTTTGTTGCAATGTCTGGTTCTAACGATGCCTCGAAGAAGCAATACTCATTTAGCAGCTTCTTCCCTTTCTCACATGCTACAAAAGGTATGTAGTTAAAACAAATGGAGTATTTACTACCATGAGAGCAAAAAGTTTGGCGAGCAACAATCAGACATTTTTTCTGGAGTACATCATGTTCTTGCCTGTTATATCTTTGCACTAACTTGGCAGTAACCTTAGTGCATCCGAACCTACGACTACTACCTCGTTGTGATTTATCATTTGAACATTTCTGGTTCTGACCAATCACCGATGGTACACGAAAGCATAAAACAAATCCTTTGATGAATTTACTTTCGTACCAACGTGGATCAAGTTGAGTGGAGAATCTTTTCGTTTGTTCTTTCCGATAATAAGTGAACCATTTCCATTTTATATCTCCAGGGAAGAAAAGGCTCAAGGGCGGCCTTTTCTCACACTACAAGAAAGAAACCGGTATAAGCTCCAACATAAACATAATTGGATAAGCAGAAAAATCACGAGAGAGAGCTGATACCTGAGATGCCACACTAATCATGCGGAGGACAAAAAGCAATAAATCAGTCAGTTCACCTTTGTTCTCGATATGGCGAGTGAATGACACTGAATAGAGATCTGAATATTTGGTAAGGAAATCAGGGATGCTTTTCAAGATTAGAGGATCACATGCATATAACTCCTTTATAAATGGCGGAAGTTCAGGCAATGCAAGCTTCTCACAAAATGTTATGTCTAAGTAATGAAAGAGTTGATTGGTACTCTCATCATTTCTAGTCAAATCCAAGTGAGCTAACGAAGATAAACCTCCAACATCTGGAAAATGTTCTGCACTACATAGCCTGTTTTTTTTTAGCTTTAACACCCTCAACGGCAACGATACACCTGATGAAGGCGGGAACAGAAAAGTTGCACCTTGTCTGTATCCAGACCAACGAGAAAACGATAAGAAGCTTAGCTCACGAAGATCTGTAACTGAAGTTGGTATCTGGGAAATTGAAGTACCAGATACTACTAGCTTCTTTAACAGTTTCAAGTCACCAATCTTTTCTGGCAAATAGATTAGTCTTTTGCAATTGTAGATAAGAAGGGCTCTTAGATTCTTCAGACAACAAAAGCTGTTTGGAATGCTTACTAGATCTTTACAATGACTTAATCTAAGTTGTTTGAGGGAACGAAGATTCCCGATTGATGCTGGAAGCTCTACTATCGGGACATATTCGATAACAATGTCCTGTAAACAGTGCATTCCGTCTGGTGGCGGAAATATAGTGACTTTTGGAAGACAAGAAAGTTTGAGAGTCTCAAGGGATTCCATCTGATCAAAATTTGGAAGCTTCTCAAGGTATTGACAGTTAGTCAGCTCTAACGTCAATAAACGGTGCATCCCCTTGGTTTCTGGCAATTCCCTCAATTTTGGAAGACAAGAAAGTTTGAGACTCTTAAGGGATCCCATCTCAACACAACTTGGAATTTTCTTGAGGCTCGGACAATCAATTAGCTCCATTGAAGTGAGTTTCATGAGAACTCCAAAAGATGGGCTGACTTCTCTCAAACTGTTACATCCCTCTAGCTTTACTCTCTCTAAATTTGGCATTATATCGAAGCTTGGAACTTCTTCCAACTTCTCACAGTAGCTGAGGTACAAAGCCTTAAGTTTGTCCAATCCCTATTTAGAATGGTAAAATGTTAGCGAAGATGATAAAACACCTCTACCACTCATAGAGAACGATACACAATAACAACATATCTTGTGTGGTCCTACATATGGGGCCTGGGGAAGGTAAGATGTACAGAGACCTAACTGCTATATCTATGGGGTAGGGAGGTTGTTTTCTGATATACCCTCAGCTCAAAAGAAATGTTATCTAAGCAGGGTTGCAAGAAAATATGACAGCGAAAAAGCAACCACACGACTACTAAATACTAATAAATGATAGGGTCATGTCATAAAGAACAATATACGAATGATAAATTAAACTTAGAAGTGTGGTATCCTATTTAAATGATGAAAAGTTGTTCCTCTCTCATAAGTAGATTGATTAAGAGTGAAAAACTCAAAGGAAAGCTATAGTAAGAATCGTACCTTTGAAATTGACCAGAGCTTCTGGAGTGTAGTACTTTCAAGTATATCGAGACGAAGAAGCTTTGAAGGTTCAAAACTCTGTGGCAATGAATTTAAAGGGCAACCTTCCCAATCAAGCCACCTTATGCTGCTAGGAAGATGAGTGATCGGATCAATAGAGCAGAAATTTGTTGCTCTTACTTCAAGCACCCTTAATCTTTTCATTTTCCTGAATGTTTCATTTATGTTGTAACATGATATATCCCGTTTTCGTACGTAATCCCTTGGGATCGATAGGCCCTCCACAGCTTCTGCCTCCTAAAAAAAGGAAACAAAAGAATAACCTTTAAAGAACACTATATCCTGAAATCATATCCATAGCCGAAAATTCTATTAAAACTTGCAAGTAGATTGACATGAGTTCCATACAGTTCATATGCATGAGGTAATGACATATCTTACCAAATTTCCAGTAAACAAATCCTCGATGTCCTCGGGAAGCCATATTCTGCTCCTTCTTGTGTCGCCTTGTCTCACGATGTGCCAGGCCATTTCTTGTATCAAATCATGCATTTCGATTGTGTCATATGGTGAGACAAATAAGAGAGACTTTTCAATCAAGACTCTTATTGTAGATCCAATATCACAACTCTCAAGCATTTCCCCTACAGAACTCCTCAATTTTCCTCTATAAAAGCATCCGATATCAAGAAATAGTCTCTGATCAGAAGGACTCAGCCCATCAAAACTTATCTTAAGCTTAGCAAGAACATCATCTGGCATATCCTTAAGTCTGTCCACTGTGCATTTCCACACAATCTTGTCTAGCCCGCAGAGAGACGAACCTAGAATTTTCAGAGCTAAAGGGAGAAAACCGGCAGTCTGTACAACTTGATTTAATAGCTCCTCAAAATCTTTATCTGGAATTCTTTGCTTAAAGGCGTGTAGGCTGAATAGCTCTATCGCTTCATCGCGAGTCATCAAGTTGACTGAATACACTTCATCCACCACATGATTATGTAACAAATGTTTATCTGTTGTAGTAATCAAAATTCTACTGCCGATACCAAACCAATCACGCCCTCCAACTAACATTTCTAATTGGTCCTTTTGAATTACATCATCAAGAATGATCAAAACTTTCATCGAGCGTAGTCTTTCCTTTATGATTCTCATGCCTTCATACACACTTGCTATAGTTATACTTACTTTGAGGATTTTCGAGAGGAGAACACCTTGCAGATATTGCAGTCCATGTGTCTTTTGCATTTCTACAACATTATCCAGAAAACAAACTCCTTCAAATTGGCCCCAATATTTGCCAAACACAGCTCTTGC